TTGTGACACGTGGTTGGGACCAGTGTAAGTAATTGGAAGTTTAAGTTAGTAATTGTAGACCGCGCGCAAAAAGAGTATAAATGCGGTGGGTTTTGGTCGTCCTGTACGGCCGAGGACAGACACATCACAAAAAAACACACACGGGTAAGACACGGGACGACGTACCCCGTTTTCGCCCCAACATGGTACTCTTGTGGAGGGCCGACACCAACAGTCAGGCGGGTCCCGCTTCCCTGGTGTTCGATGGTAAGCACGAGGCGGATGTCGCCAAGTTCTTCTTTGTCTACGAAAACGTCGTAATGAAAGGCAAGTCCGACGAAGACAAAGCCGGAGAGCTACTGTGCTACCTGCAAGGGGAGGCTTTCGACTACTACTATGAAACGTACAGCCAAGACGGTGGACTGAACCAGGCGGCCAGCGACTACCAAGCCGTCAAGAAGGCATTGCACGACCGTTTCGAGTGTCCTGAACCGGAAGAAAACATCTGGCTCGCAGTCGCGAGTAGGTTAGACAGCAACGACGTGCTCGCGTCGTTAAACGTGATGGATCGCCGCTTCGAAAAAGCAGCTTTCAACCCCGAAGCCAAGTTCGGACTACTCCGGAACGCGGTCATGGAGCACACCGACGTGTCACAGTTCGTCTTGTATAGGACACCTACCTCGTACGGCGCGCTCAAGAAGGCCGTTAAGGACTTCGTGTCTGGCCGCAACGCCTTTATGGCTGCACACAATGCTAGGCAACCTCAGCCTCCGGCGCCTAAGCGCATTCTACAGAGACCGGAAACACGCCAGGAGCCGGACAAGATCGAAAAGAAAGTGGACGTGCTAGCAGAACGGCTAGCAGATCTTTCTTTGTTGGTAAAGAAGAATCAGACAGCAGATCAAGGTGGCCAGGTCCGAACCTGCTCATTCTGCAAGGAACTGGGGCATGGAGCCAGCCGATGCCCTTCTAATCCGCGCCGAGACACTCGTTGTTCGAATTGTGGGAAGCTTGGTCATGAAAAGGAGACGTGCTGGACTAGGCTTAGAACGGCACTGCCGAGGGCAGGAGCCACGACTCAGTCCACAGCACCTGCGACAGAAGGTGCAGGGAATGCCCAGGTCACCTATATTGACGAGGCGAACGACGCAGAAGTCGTGGCCGTCACTAAGAGAAACGCAGACGGGGAACCTCTTCCCAAGCAGCACAAAACGCGGGAGGAGGTGTCCATTCCCAGGCTTCTGAACCCGCCTGTACCATTCGAGATGCAAAAGAGGGCTCTGCCACTTCAGGCGGGGCCAAGGAGGTCCCACCAGAGGAAGAAAGCGAAGAAAATGACCAGAAAAACATCCCTCCAGGAGTATGTGAGGAAGTATAATGTCGTTTCGGAGCTTGCAAACGCATCTTCCGGACTCACTTTCGGACAGCTTGTTCGCGGCGATGCGGAAGTGGCGAAGAAGGAGATAGGCCGCTTGTTTGCGAAACAAAGAGTCCGTGGTCGTGCTTTCGCAGGTCACCCCGATACGAAGTCTCGAAGGCTGCGGCTGGTAACTGTGAAGGTTAATGGGACGGAAGCTCAAGCCCTGTTAGATTCTGGGGCCGTACCGAACATAATCTCGCCAAAGTTGGCGTCTAAGCTTTGCCTCTCCCCGCAACCGACTGAGAAGCATATCACGGTGACAGATGGTGCTAATGCGCCCTGCCTGGGATCGCTTTATCAGATACCAACATCGTTTGGTGAACTTATCGTGAAGTTGGACTTCCTAGTCGTGAAAGGATCGCCATTAGACCTGATCATAGGGCTTCCGACCCTTGAGGGACTACAGGCATGCATCGATCTTGGTAAGCAACATGTGCAGATGACAGTAGGTGAGAATACCACCAGACTAGGCCTCAACATGGACGTGGAACACGTTTCACGGAGTGCAGCCTCAACTGATAGTGAGGATTTCACCTCCGACTCTGAGGCTGTACCTGGCTCGTCTACGACAAGCGACAATGAATTTGTCTTGGCGACTCTTTACCAACCACCATTTGAACCTGATTTGGGACTCACCAAGCTACCGGATGGAGTCGAATATGAATTGGATGGGGTTCCTGATCTAGTGAAAGAGGGCCTAAAGTCCGAATCGGAAAACGCGAAAGGAGATGGCAGAGTAGACGAAGAAGGCCCGGGACGGCTTCAAGTAGCCCTTCTCGGGGAGAAATTGCGCCACCTGGCTTTCGAGGCCAGGGAGAGCATTGTGAATTCTATCCAGAACTCAGGGATCGTAGCTTGGTCACTCGACGATTTAAGACCGGCAGATGTTCCGGTGTCTCACTCGTTTGATCTAGAAGATCCAAGCCCCATTACGCACGCTCCACGTAGGCTTCCGCCACGCCACAATGAAGTGGTACGTCAGGAGCTCCGTAAGATGTTGGAGGCGGGAATAATAACCCCCTCCATTTCGGCGTGGTCCTTTCCTATCGTTATCGCATCGAAGAAAGACGGAAAACCCAGGTTCTGTGTAGATTACCGCACCCTCAATCGCAAAATGAAAGCCGATCGTTGGCCCTTGCCAAAGATCGAGGAGATCTTCGATGATTTAGAGGGGAGCTCGGTCTTCACAACGCTTGACTTGTTCTCGGGGTATTGGCAAGTCCGGATGGCTGAGAACTGCAAAGAGAAGACGACTTTCGTCTGCCGTTTTGGGACGTTTCAGTTCGAGGTGATGCCGTTCGGGTTAATGAACGCCCCCTCTACGTTCCAAAGAATGATGGACCAGCTTTTCCAAAGACTTAGCTTCGTGAGGGTTTACTTAGACGACGTAGTCGTCTTCTCGAAGTCCGTTGAAGAGCACACTTCACACTTATGTGAAGTCTGCAAGGTGATTGCTACGAGCGGGCTGAAGCTTAAGATCTCAAAATGCAGCTTCGCACAGTCCCAAACGCGACTGCTTGGACACATAGTCACCGGAGATGGCGTCAAAGTGGACCCCGAAAAGGTCAGCGCCATTAAGAGGGAGAAGGAGCCGTCCAATGCGACAGGGCTTCGTAGCTTCCTTGGTCTGGCGGGATACTACCGCCGCTTCATTCCTAAGTTCGCCGAGATCTGTGCTCCGTTACATGAGGCCACGTCTACTAAACGGACTTTTAAGTGGACGGCGGAGATGCAGGAGGCATTCGAGAAGCTTAAGCTCAAGTTAACCTCCCCGCCAGTCTTGGCGTTTCCGGACTTCGAACAACCTTTTGTCGTGGAGACTGATGCATCCTCGGTCGCCGTCGGAGCTGTTATGGCCCAACGAAAAGAGGACAGGAAAGTCCACCCGATCCAGTACGCAAGTCGCACGATGACGTCAGCCGAGAGGAAGTATTCCGCCTGTGAGCGAGAGGCCCTGGCTGTGATCTTCGCTTTGAAGAAGTTCCGAGTTTACCTGCTTTCAACACAGAAGTTCACGCTAATAACAGACCAACAAGCCCTGCAGTATGCCTTTAAGAAGAAAGACATTCACGGGAGGTTGGCAAGGTGGATGGACTTCCTAGCAGAATACGCATTCGAAATTAAGTACCGCCCGGGAGGAAAGAACTGTGCAGCTGACTTCCTGTCCCGCCGGAAAGCCAAGGGCGAGGATGGAGTCGACTCTGACGACGAGGGAGATCTTGTCTGCAGTGTTTCGGATCCTCTAGAGGCGCAAATGGAGTGGGAACCCCATCTTATTGACATTTCAAGGTACCTCGGGGGCATTGATATGAGGGAAGTGGATGTTCGTCGACGTCGGCTCAACCGCCGAAGCGCCAAACGTTTCATGGCTTGTAATGGACAACTGTTCCGTAGGACCAACAATGGATTACGCGCTATCCGCCTATAGGGGCTCGCAGAAGGATCATTAGAGCCTTTCACGACGAAATAGGCCATTGCGATCTGCAAACGACGAAGAGATTCGTCTTGGACCGATATTGATGGCCTGCCGTCCACCGAGACGTGAACGACTACGTTCGGGGTTGTGACGGTTGTCAGAAAGCCATACCAATTCCGAAGTACAAGACCACCCTTCGATTTCCCATGACTTCGTTATTTGATACATACTCTATCGATTTTGCGGGACCATTGCCTCGTACGCCCTCTGGAGGGAGGTACATCCTTATTGCCGTGGAGCACCTGACTGGCTGGCCAATTGCGAAGGCCACCGTCACCTCGACGGCAGAGGAGGTGTTGAAGTTCGTGAAAGAGGAGATAATCCACTGTTTTGGGTTACCACGTGTCGTTGTCTCGGACAACGCTACTTGTTTCACAGCGTCGGTCCTGAATACCTTCATGGCACGAAACGGGATTAAGTGGAAGACAGTGCTCGCCTATGCGCCTATGTCGAACGGACGGGCAGAGCGAATGGTCGGCACATTGAAGAGAGCAGTCCGTGAGATGATTCTCGGTGCCTCGCCCACAATTGTTGAGTGGGACGATGCTTTACGTCAAGTCCTATATAGATACCGTCGCAGGAGGATGGCGGTGGGATTGTCCCCGTTCGAGCTGCTTTATGGGGTGTTGCCCAGGATGGCGCCTGGAGACCAAGAGCCTCTCTTCGGAGTCTCCGAGATCCGCCACCGGCAAATGGAACTCCTGCAAGCCAGAGCGATGCGGGCAACAAGAATAATCGGGCGCAGAGCTGCAACCACATTAACAGACGGTCGCGAAGCAACTTTCAATGTGGGCGACGAAGTGTTGGTCGCAAAAGGGGCTGCCCTCGGGCCCATGCAGAAATGGCCTATCGCCTTGTCGAAGTTCTATGGCCCATGCCGAGTTGCTCGTGCGCGCCATCCGCGGTACACTCTAGTGTCGCCGCATCAACGCTACTCGAGAAGGGAGATACATGCCAGAAGGCTGGTCCTCTACAGGAGGCAACCGTTGCACCTTCAGTGAGGCAAATGACTAGGGATTTTTACGCTTTGAATTGAAAGATAGTGAAATGCATATGAAGTGCTGATTGCTTGCTACAAGTAGATAGAGAGTGGGTCATGGAGACAATGGGAATCACCAATGACCTCTAATGCTGAATGGAACTTCCCGAACCCCGAATCGCGGCTTTCTTGTGTGCTCTGCGGCTGCTTGCGCGTCCAATTCTGCTCCGTTTCTTCTTGGAAGGGGTGACGACGAGAATTTGGCGCAGTTCGGAGACGCCAACGAAGATCCCGTCGGCTCCAACGCATGCTTTGACCGCGCCGGCGCAGAGCCGAAGCGGAAACCCCTCCATACAATCAAGTACAATGGAATGTATGGTCGAGACGCAGATGCTGTGCATTATGTGGGGCAAGCCTTCTAAAGTCGCGACATAGACACCCGGTTCGAGCCTCAAGAGGAGTCCGAGAGATGGACTACGAAGACCCGACCCGCGGAGAGCGACTTCATCTTGATTAAGGTGTTTTCCAGCGTCATGGAAATCTCGGATTCGACGCGACGGAGAGCCAGTCCTCTCAAAGAGGAGGCTGTTGCGGACTAAAAGATCCCAGTACTTGACGGCAAGGTTCGGGGACCCTAGTAGTTGGAGACCGTTGCAGACGGCGGCGGAGATGCACATGTCGCTACTATCTCGGAACCGCACGGTCCCGTGTGTGGAAACGCGGTAGATCGGAGTCCGAGGATTGACAGCCCTGGAACGACCATGTATCATCTTCAGACTCCTGCCCTTTTGATCGGTGCAAAAACGATCAATACTTAAGAAGGCACTAATTCGGTCTCTCCCACCAAACTGGAAGAGATCGTCAACAATCTTGTGAGTTGTACTATTCCCGGTTCCGGAAATTGCTAGAGTGTATAGCAAAATACGGTGAGGAAGGTTGGTTGCGGCATCGACGCCATAGTACGTGTTGTCAACGTCGAGATAGATGGACTCAATGTTCCACTCACCGTCGCCGATAATACAGTACTGGTTTGTGTCCGACAACGACTCTGTGAGACCAAGACGCCATATCTCTTCGAGACAGACCTCTTCATCTGGCTTGCGGTGGAGCAGGGCGGTAATATGATCTCCTAGAAGGCTGTTGAACTCTTGTTCTGTTACGGCGTAACGGCGATGCCCGCTGGCCACCCAAATGTGGAACATGGAGCCCGTCTTGGAAACCTTGGTTACATCTGTTCGAGATGAGAGCTCGAACATTAAGTGGTCGCGGCTGGCGAAGCGTGCAGCTTTCAGAGCGAGCTGCTTCCGCGGACACTTACCTCCCGTGCTCTTCGCCGCTGTCTGCTTGGTCCTCGCCATCGTATTACGCTATGAGGGGGGCCAAAGAGGGCACACGGGGACTGAAACCCCACCTGCGTGCCTCTCGATCTGGCGCGAAACAGGAGGTCTAAGCTACGACGAGGACCACGGAGGCAACGCGGAAGAGCCGCGAGAGCTAAGCAGCGCAGGAAGCAGGAGGCCGGAAGAGCTAAACCGAGGCTGGAATGGAGCGAGAAATTCGAACGGAGAGCGACGGCAGCTACCACAGGAAGGGAAGGGGGGTCCGAGCCCGAGGTCTGTGTTGATATAGGCTGGAGGGTGAAGAAAAATTACAATCAAAGGCAAAATCTGAGTGGCCGGGTCCCGTGGCCCCGCCTAAGTGGGGGGTTGTGTGACACGTGGTTGGGACCAGTGTAAGTAATTGGAAGTTTAAGTTAGTAATTGTAGACCGCGCGCAAAAAGAGTATAAATGCGGTGGTTTTCGGTCGTCCTGTACGGCCGAGGACAGACACATCACAAAAAAAAAAAAAAACACACGAACAGCCGCGAGAAAGGACAGAGAAGCACGTGCCAAAACCGGAATATAACAAAAATTTCATCCATACACCCATTTTACCGCGCAGTAGAATGTCGCCTACCAAGGGTAGCCCTCACAATCCCCTTACACTCCAAAGCTCATGTCCTACGCTCATGTCCTACAGCGGCGACTGCTCGGCACAGGAACGGCCTACCACCGTCTTTCTCCTCCACCCAGAGTCCGCAGCTACTTCTGAACGCGTGAGAGTGTTCGTTCCATTTCCCAGACCTTGGTGCTTCGGCCATTGAGAATTCAAGAGCCGCCACGCGTTCCATTCCATTCCATTCCATCCGTCGAAATTTCCGGCAATTTTTTCTTAGTTCTGCACTCCCTGTGCCTGCAGATCGGAAGGCATTGTGCATAGAAAGTTCACATTTTCGCTTGTGGATCGCGACGGCGGGCCGCCGTCTTGCAATCTGCGTTCAGGACTCAAAAAGTAAGTTGAAAAGTAGCCTCATAAAAAGTTGGAGGGATGGGCGCGTTTGGCAATGACGTGGAAGCGACGCGAGGGCCCAGGAACGCGACCAACCGACTTGTGCATCGTAATTTTTTTGATTTTTTTGGCAGGCGGGTGCCGCTTACAGTTTCCAACCGCCGGAGTGTTTTCAACTCGTATTGAATTCGTTTAGATCGCAAAAAGCCTCATTACTGAAGGTCGTTTGGAATGACCCTCAGGGTCATTGAGGACCCTCATTGCATTGCAACTCAACACGCTCGTCGACACGTGACCTGTAACCCCTGACACGCGATAAGGTCGCCGAGATACACCGTGCTCTGTCCCCAGAATTACAATGACAGGATAGATAGATACAACGGAGCGGAGCAGACCGGACCGAGCAAGCACAGCATAGGCACAGTGTTTTCAAGAAAGAATATATTTTTTTGGTCTTTTTCTACTTTTCTTGGCGCATTAGACAAAACGCACACACAGACAGACATTCATCTATCACATCAATCATCTTTCTCACATTAAAAGCCAGCATACTCAAACAAAAACCAAGTCTGCCCTGCATCGGATGCCCACACTTGACTTTCACACGTATATCTTCGAAACCACCGAGTCATCAAAAACACAATAACCCAATCATTTCAAGTACTCTCTTTCATACAAACTTAGGAAACTCTCGCATACTTTTGACCACCGTACAACAACAACAACGACAACAACAACGATCGACAGTGAATTTCTTCCAGATGACTGTCTTAGCGTGCAACCAGTCCAATTTTCTTAGACAGCCTGCGTCTGGCCCTGCGGCTGATCCCCAGAGGCGGCCGCATGTTCACGAAGAACTGTCACAGCCTCTTCAACCCTTTCGGCAAGAGCTTCGGGTGATTCGAGGAGATGTAAGATCTCCGTGTTTTCCATATGAAGCAGCATGCCCGTGATCTTACCGCTTAAAGTCGGTTGAAGCTCGGCAATCTGAGGATACAACCTCTCGCCTAACATTTGTTTCTGTTGCCCCGATGTCGCGTTGGCGAGCATCTCTAGAGTCAGTGGCTGAGCCGCAGCAGCAGCGGCATCAGGAGTAGCAACCTGGGGAATCGCTTGCCCATTGGGGACCTGAGCAGCCACTTGAGGCTGTCCGTTAGGGGCCGCAATGGCGGCATTACGTGCGTTAGTAGTATACTTGAATTGTTGTCCTGGCGGTCCCTGGTTCGGGCCACCACGACCACGTCCTGCGGCGGGGTTGCCACGACCAGCGACCATGGCGGCATTCGGACCCATGTGTCCACCGCGCTGGCGGTTCTGTCGCGGCTGGCGCTGTGGCGCCAACCCGAACATTTGCATGTTTGCAGGGTTCATTCCAGGAGCCATACCCGGCTGCCCGCGGCCCATGGCCGCAATGTACTGCATGCCTGCAGCCGGACCACCACGGCCTGCCGGGGCGGCACCTCGGCCAACTTGGGCCATGTACGGCGGATGCATGTAAGGCCCATTCCGGCCCGGTACAGCCTGATTAACACTGCCCATGTTAGGCATCGGCTGCTGGTACATGTAAGGAGAGGGTTGCGCGTACATGGCGCCTGCGGGAACGGCACCGGGCATCCTCAAGTTCATCTGTCTCTGCGCCTCAAGCTGGGCGCGGCGGACGTCCTTCCTCTGGGCCAAAGCAACGTAGATGGGCTTCTGGCCCACCATGCGGCCATTGAGTTCAGTGACGGCCTTGGTGGCTTCATCGGGGGTGGTGTAACAAACAAAGCCAAAGCCACGTGAAAAGCCCTTGTCGTCACGCATGATCTTGCACGAAGTAATGGTGCCATACGGGGAGAATTCGGTGCGGAGGCGATCGTCGTCGATATCGTCCGAAAGGTTCTTAATGTAAAGATTGATGCCCTGATACTTTTGCATGCGCTCATTGCGGATGATTTCATGCTTGTTGCGGAGCTCGGCCTCGCGGACCGACTTCTTCTGGGCGGCATTGAGGACGAGGGTCTTGCCGGCAACCTCCTTGCCGTTCATCCCATCAACAGCGCGCTTGGCCATCTCCGGGGAGGCAAAGTTGACAAAGGCAAAGCCCTTGGGTTTGGCAACCTCGTCTTGAGCGACGTGAATCGAGGTGATGTCGCCAAACTCGGCAAACAACTCGCGAAGCTTCTCCTCGTCGCAAATCGAGTCATCTAGGTTCTTGATAAAGACATTGGTAAAGATCTTGTTGACCTGGCCGGCGGCCTCGCGTTCCCGCTTGTTCAAAAACTTGCCCACGTAGACCTTGCGGCCAGCCAGGAGCTTACCGTTAACCTTCTCAATAGCAAGCTGAGCAGCCTCGGGGGTTTCAAAGTGCACAAAGCCATGTCCCAGACTCTCGCCGTTATCGTCGGTAGCAACCTTGCAGCTGAGAATAGTACCAAACTGAGAGAAGGTATCGTAAAGACTCTTGTTCCGAATCGACTTATCCAGACTCTTGACGAAGATATTACCGGCCCCCGTCCTTCTCTGCGAGGGGTCCCTGATCATCCACATCATCCTGAGCGGCTTATTCTTTGTAAGCTGGGACGAGTAGTAGTTCATGGTCTCGAGGGCCCTCTCCGCGTCGACGACGTTATGAAAGTTGATGTACGAGTATCCCAGAGAGCGGCGCGTGACGACATCACGGCACACGCGGATGCTCTGCACGGGCCCGAGCGCCTGGAAGATCTCGTACAAGTTGGCCTCTGAAATCTCGGGGTGCAAGTCGCCGACGTAGAGCGACGCCGAGTGCTGCGCGCCCG